GAGCAAGGCTGCAGCCATCAGAAATCTAGGAAAGCTCCTATTTTCAACTTCACTCTGCACACATCTGTGGGTGCCCGGTGGTGACCACGCCCCGCTCAGGAAGCTTCTGCAGCCCACGCCACACCCTGACCGAGTTCCCCGGCCAGCCCCGGGAGTGAGGGCTTTCCTCGGAAACTCCCTCTCTCCTGCCAAAGGGCCCCACCCAGGGGAGGGCACCACCCTGGCCCCAGAGACGGCCCCAGGCAGCACGTGGAGGTGGGGACAGGGCGGCTGGCCCGCAGGATGACTCAGTGGGGAGGGTGTCCCCCTCTCCCCGCCAAGGGGCTGTGCGCCCCCACAACGGTCTCACTGCCCGCGAGCGATCCCCCCTCTGGGTCAAAAGGGCCACGGGGGTCTAGCCGGCGTGTTCACACTGGCCTTCCCGGGACCAGGAATGTGGGGGCGCACTCAACCAGCGTGTGCTCGGTGAATGAAGCTCCTGGGCGGGGGACAGAGCCGTGGCTGATTCATCCATGAGGGACAAAGGCACGTTCCCCACCTCCGTTGGGTTCACACAGAGCAGGGGGGCTCCGGAGGCAGGATGCCTGAGTGGCACCTGGGCCTACCACCTCCTGCCTGGTGGCCTGGGCGGGGAGGGATGAGCCCCGTGGCCTGTGTCCTCATCAGCAGGAGGGGGAGGTATCAGGCCAGGCAGGCTTCCAGGACTCAGTGAGAGACGCCCCGCAAGGCCCTCAGGCCGCTGGATACGCACTCAGCACCCGGTCCGGTCCACGGCGGCTAGCAGGGGGCTGAGGCCTGGGGTGAAAACCCCCAAAGAGAGCCAGGGTGTTGGCTGATTTAAATCAGCAGCGTTGATGAGCCTGGAGTGGCAGACCCTTGGCGAGGTGGCTGCCTGGGAGGCGGGAGGGCTCCGGCCAAGACGTAGCTGCTTCAACAGCACTGTTCTGATCCTAGTTCTGGCTGTGCATTATTTATTTCATGATTTTCTTAAAAAAAGAACCCCAAAAAACGCCACCCAGTTTTGTCTCCACATGGGTAAAATTTTAGGTTTGAACGACTAATGGCGTCAACGTGTCACTCTGGGAGCGAAAGCCGTGTGCCGGGGACCGTGAACCCTGGGGCCCGTGGGTCCCCTGGGGTCTCTGCGGAATCCTGGTCCCCTCCCATCATTCGGGGCCTCCCCCTACCCTGCACCCTGGGACGAGAGCAAATGTCACGTTGATAGCCGGCTCTGGTCCGGGCGAGCACACACCTCTCCCCGTGGGCCTCCCTGACCTCTCCCGCCTCAGCCTTCCGGAACTTACCATGAAGACAATGGAGACCAAGTTGGTGACGTAGGCTGGGAACCGATCTCTCCAGGTCAGCTTCACCTTGTCTGTCTACAACAGGAAACAATGTTGGGTCACCTGGTGGGAACCGTCGCGGAGGAGAGAAGTCTGTGCGCGCGCGGTGGGGCATGGGGACTTGGACAGACAGAAATACTCAGAACACCTTTGAAAAAAAAAAAAAAAGCTTGCGGGCGATGCGTGAAAGCAGACGCCTAGCGTCCAAGGAGGGGCCTGGGGTCTTACCACCTATCAGACGATGTCATGTGACAGAAAAAACAGCGTTTAAAAACGTGGTTCGTCTGCGTCCAGGGCGTAACAGACCCAAACACCTTTCTAAAGGAGGCACTTAGGCCCACGTCTGGGAGAAGAAGCCTGCGTCTGCGGCCAGAGTCTCCCGTGGAAGGCGAGAAGATCTAAGAGGTCTTGCCCTCTGCCACCCAGACCATAATAGTTATTTTTCCCTCTGCAGGGCAAGCCGAAACAGGCAACTAGCATTCCAAGGTAAAAACGCTTGTTGCCGCGTAGCAATGGCGAACCGTGGCGACTCGCGGCCCCAAGGCTCCCTGGCTGAGGGACGGCCCCGTCTGGCGGGCCCGTGAATAGCAGCAGCTGGTCACCAACCCACGAGGTTCCGAGAACGGGGGCAGGTTTCTGGACGGGGACACGCACGTATCAGGTCAGACGACACTGGCGAGGGCGCCGCACGGGACGCCGTGCGCTCCGGGGCCGGGTGGCATGCGTGTTAATGGAAATGCGACAACCGCTGGCAGGCAGCCGTGACAAGCAGGACTCACGAGCTCCAGGCAAGGCCGGAGCCCCCTCCCCGCCCCCCCCCCCCGCCCCCCGCAGACCCACTGGAGCCATGCAGTGACATCTCAACACACATGGGCACGGCTCGACGGGTGTGGAAGGAAGGCAAAGAGGCGTGAACGTGAGTGTTAAAGAAAAGAACACAACAGACTTCGTGGAGGAAACACACAACGGACTTTGGTCGTCGGCAAACAAGTCAAGACTCGCGTTGCCCCCGAAACAGAAAAGTACCAATTTCACCCCCGCCATGGCTGTCTTAACCCTCTGCTTCCATTTGTTTGTTGACTCCTCTGGAATATGCCGGCGCTTCTGGGGGCGGGTGGAGGGAACAAGAGAGCACTGTGGGGTGAAGCGTGACGAGGCTCGGAGGCCGCGGGGGCCAGGCCGATTCGGGTTCTGAGCGTTTGCAACCAATAAGAGATGGCAGCAAAGGTCGGGGAACGGGAGACCGGGCTTTCGCGATGGCCTCAGCGGGGAAAGGCTGGCAAGGCTCTGAAGCGCCCGCTGGGGACGTGGCCACCGTCATCTCCACGGCGCGCAGCACGCAAAGACAGGTCACTCTGAGCGGTTTACGGCGGCGAAGGAAGCCACGCCCAGAAGTGCAAGTTCATAGGCCAAGTAAGGGGTGGGTCTCTTTTTCTCTGGTAACTGAATCTGGTGCCAGAGCTGGGGAACAATTACAACCATAAAGTAGCCGCTAGGGGCCCAAGGAAACCGAGGAGAAAATCCGGGGTGTGCCCGCCAGGAGCATACGGGCCCTGGGGTCGCCATCAGAGCCCTGCGTGAAGGAACCAGGTACCTTTGCTGTTCTCACGATCACAGCCAAGAGGCGGAGTGACAGGGTCCGGGAGGCGCCCCTGGCACGGCTGCCCAGATCCACTGTTGGGGCTTGGTTGAGTCCCGCGACCTCAATGGATGTCACGGGTGCCACAGAGCCTATTGCTAAGAGGTGCCACCGTGAAGCCACGGGGTGGACTGTCTCGGGGGCCGCACATCCGACACAGGCTGGGGGCGGGGGATGCTGCACGGAACACGGGTCTTGGCGGCCCACAGTGAGGTCTGCGGGGCTTCCTGGACAGCGGTGTCCAGGCCTCTCCCTTTAGGAGAGGGAAATGAGGTCGAGAGAGCCTGACGGGGCTGATCAAAGCTGCTGGGCACCTGCTCCAGACGCAGCGTGCACGGGGATGTGCATTCGTTTTGATTTAACTGAAACAATGACCTCATTTGGGGTGACGACTCACGCCCGTGTGGCTATCTGCAGACTGGAGTCCCACTCAAACCCCAAGAGCGCGCACCCCCTTCCTGGGTGCAGCGGGACTAAGCCGGACTTCTGCCACGTTCCGGGAGCTGTGGCCCGAGACGAGGGTTCTGGTGCGCTCACTTTATCCCCCAGAGGGGACCGTGCCAACTGCCACCTCTGGCCGCTCGGAGCGAGCAAACCCCGTCCGCGTGCCTCAGTAGGAAGATAAACCCAGGGGTCCGCCTCAGCAGCCCCAGAGGCTGGGGGGTGTGAGTGTGGACCGCGGGGCTCAGGGAGCGTCTCTCTCCCACCCTTCAAGGACAGACACAAACTTCCCCAGCCGCAGGCGGAGGCTGATGGGGGCCAGCGCCCTGCACTCCGGGCTTGTTCCAGGGCACGTAAAACACCTTCCTAAGAAAACAGCCACGCGCCTCTAGAGGTGGGCCAGAAATCAGTCTGCAAACACGAGACGGCCCATTTGAATGAGAGGTTCGGGGAGAAGCAAAGTCCCTGATTATCAACAGGTCGTCATCTTGAGACCAGTGTGGAGCACTTCTCTCTTGCCCCCACGTCTGGGGGGGAAACAGGGAATTGGCCGTGTGCTCAAGGGTGCTGGCTGGGCAACCCCTTCCTTCAACACGGAACACAAGGGCTGGACATACTGAATGTCAAGCGTCCTGGGAAAAAGCCCCACGGCTCCCTGGCTCCTGGTGTGGACGTGTTGGCTGAGGTCTGAGACGCCCCTAGGATAGATCAAGGAGGGGGACCCACAGCAGAGTTCGGAAAACTTCGGCCCGCAGGCCAAACCTGGCCCCTTGCTTGTTTTTACGGATGAGGTTTCACTGGCTCACTTGTCTACCTCTCGTCTATGGCTGCGGTTCACCTACAAACAGAAGAACTGAGTGGTCGTGACCGAGGTCTGCAGAGCCTAAGATATTTCCTCTCTGGCCCCTGTCCGGGGTCCGGGCCCTGGTCTCCACCGCCGACGGGCGCACAGTGTTTTATTACTAGGAAAGCCACCTGGGCCGTGGCCGCCGTACCTCTTTGCTTTTGGATTCCTTCCTAAGTGACTTCTCCAAAACTCTGGCTTCGTATTCGGCTCTGGGATGGTCCTGTGGAAGGAAACCAAATCCACGCGGGGCCTCGTTAGCTGTGAGTTTGAGCGCCTCGGCACGAGCCCACAAGACAAACTCAGCCCTTGGCCTCGGGCGCCCCGTGGGGGCAGTTCGTCGCTGGCTGCTGCCCTGTGCTCCACCCGGGACCCTCCCCCTCGCTGGGAACCCCGGCCCCCTGGCGTCCGTGTCCGGGAGGCAGGTCGTGTGTGCGAGGCCGCGGCCCGCCCCGCACCCCCCACCCCCCCCACGTTCCCGTTGCGAGCACCCAGCCACGAACTGGCCCCCAACATGGTTGTGGCAGGAGCCGTGGGGGTCGGAAGAGACGGCAGTGAGCATCAGCGAGTGCGGGCAGACGAGAGGCGCCGGGCCTCAGGCGAGCCCAGAGCAGGTCAGCGAAGGGGGCGCTGGAAGGAAGAACGAGGCTTAAGAGAGGCCTGGAGGAGGGGGAGGAAGCAGAGACCCCTGCCCACGGTGGAAGCCGGGAGCCGGGCAGCACAGACGCGTCAGCGTGCGGGAAGGTCCCTCTCCCAGGAAGACGGGCCACGGGCAGACAGTGGAGTGACAAAAAAATCCAAACCTTGACGGCCTCCTTCGGGGCACCAGGACGTAAAAACAAAGACAAAAAGATCGCGTTACTTTGTGCTGTTTTTTAAAGATAGGCTGCGTCCTCTCGAGATCGTTTTCTCAAGAACTAGGAAGGAGGCAGGTACGCACAGCGGGCGAGGCGGGCACGGGGGTGGGACCGGCCGTAGCCGTGGCCGCCCGGGGGGCTCCTGCAGCTCGTGGGGTTTTGGGGGCCCCCAAGGGCCGGATGTCGGAGACCGGGGGTAAGGGCATGCGGGCCAGCCAACTGTGCTGGCTGTCGGCCCGGGGCTCAGACCAGCTCCCGGCCAGCTGTGGGGGGGCGGGGCCCCCCCGGCGGGCGGCTCACTCCGGGGAACTCGTTCGGGCTGGGGACCCGTGTCCAACGTCCCCGAGGGGTAGAACAAAGGGGGCTGCCCCTCACCCCGGACCCCACTCTCCTTCAACCACAGGCACGTCATTCTAAATCTTCTTAAAGAAGAAGGAGACTGCTTTCTGTGCTACTCGAGTATTTCTATGGAAAGTTACAAGGAAGGCAGCTTGCCCGGCGGACGTCCAGGTGGATGGCCGGGCCGTGGGGGCAGCGTGCTGGGTTCCATGTGGGGCAGCACCCCTAAGAACTGCCCGCCGGTGGTGGCTAGCTGGGGGCCCGGTTCTGGGGCCTTTCCCGCGGCTGGGCCCTGCTCCAGATCTGCTGACCCTTCAAGATCCCCTCAAGCCCCACCGAGTGAGGACTATTCCTCAATCTGTATTTGAGAGGCGAGGACACTGAGGCACAGAGACTCGCCCAGGCCACAGGGCGAGGGCGGTGCTGCATCGGGACGGGACCCAGCAGCCCGGCCCGAGGGGGCGATCTTGTCTCTCGAAGCCGCTGTGGTTCTCTCACCCCCTTGCCTACCGACGGCACAGGCAGCACAGAGGCGGCACCAGCCTCCCCGGCTGACCAGCGGCGGGCCCTTCAGTCTCAGGAGGGAGCGCGGTGTATGGAAAAACACAAGAGGGAGGTTAAGAAAATCAGTGGAAGGGATTTCCCCGGGCCGCCTGGTTGCCTCAGTCAGAAGAGCATGTGACTCTTGAACTTGGGGTCGTGAGTTCGAGCCCCATGCCGCGGGCAGAGTTTACTTTAAAGATAAAATAACATAGGGGCGCCCGCGGGGCTCAGTCGGTTAAGCGTCCGACTTCCGCTCAGGTCATGATCTCATCGTGGTTCACGGGTTCGAGCCCCGCATCGGGCTCTGTGCCGACGGCTCGGAGCCTGGAGCCCGCTTCTGATTCTGTGTCTCCCCCTCTCCCTGCCCCTCCCCTGCTTGCACTCTGTCTCTCTCAAAATAAAATGAAATAAAATAAAACAACATCAACAAAACCCATAAAAACTAAAAAACAAGAATGTGTTTTATAAAAGGAAGTCGTGGTCGTGGGGCCACACGATGAAGCTCCGTCCTGTGCTGCAGCTGTGTGTGGGGGCCGCTTTCCTCTTTAGTCCCTCCCTGGCCGGAGCTACTGATCCGGGGCGGGGCAGTGGCCAGGGGCTTTGGGGCAGGGGTCTCCCCAGCCAGGCCTGACTGCGGCCCTCCCAGACCCTCCAGGCCGCCCCAGACGTGACGGGGTCAGCGCGGGGAGCCTGGGCACGTCCACGGGAGCTTCGAGATCACAGACTCGACCAGACCCCGCGATCTCAGGCTGCCCTGCGAGTCCCCAGGAGGCGACCGGCTGGGGGCAGGGGTGGGGCGTGGGGATCGCAGGGACAGACCCGCTCACCTCCTCTTCCTCGAAGCCGGTGAGGTCCCAGCGGTAATTGAGCCGCATCTGTTTCCGCTTCCAGTGCTCCATGAAGGTGGCGGCTGCAGGCAGGGAGGGAAGGCAGAGTCATCGACGACACAAGGGCACTCTCGTCCTCTGCACCATCTGGCCAGCGAGGGTGACGACACTCTGGACCGAGACCTTCACGCGAGTTCACCTGTTCTGCCTTCCCTCAGACCCCACAGGACAGGGACGCTCACTCTCCCATTTTACAGATGGAAAAACCGAGGCACATCGGTATGAGCTGCTGAACCAGCCGGGCCCAGCCAGGAACCAGGAACCTCTCCAGGTCTTTCAAATGGGGGTGATTTCATCGTGGGAGCTGCCGCCCAGCCAGCGGGAGAGCCCAGGAGACAAGGTCGGAGGTGAGCGGCCGGAGGTGAGCGGCCGGCGGCTGGAACTCAGCAACAGGAGGCCGCTGGCCGGGCAGGTCAGGGAGGTGGGATGAGAGGCTGTGCTGTCAGAGCCCCGCTGGGCCACCCCTGAGCAGCCAGCGTCACAGTGGGGGGGGGGGGGGCCTTCCCGTGGGTGTCAGAGCCACGGAGCTGGCGAAAGCCTCTGCCAGAGGTGCCCCGGGGAAGCAGGGGACGCGGGCAGAAATACCCCATCCCTCCCTTGGCCCGCCCTCTGATCTCCAGGGCCTTCCCGTTGGCGATACGGGGCACGGGAAAGCGAGGAAGCTGCAGAGACGGCCCCACGGGCTACCGAGGTGCGTCCAGCAACCACATGCTGAGCAGCGTGGCCGTGGCCGTGGCTGCTGGGAGAAAGCTGGGCCGGGCGGGCCGGGCTGAGGCCGCACTATCTCCCAGGAAGGAAGACGCGAGGGGGTTTCTCCACCCGACGCCCGTTCTGGAAGGCACCTCACTCCTCTGTCCTGCCCGCCGGCCCGTGGCAACCCCTCCTCTCAGTGCTCAGGCCGAGCAAGTGTGGGAACGTGCGAGGGTGGGCCTGCTGACCCGCCCCGTCCGGCCTCCCGTGTCCTCCCCGTCCCGGCCTGGCCCTCCCCACCTCCGCCCCTGGGGCCCCACCTGCCCGTGTGCTAACACCACCACGGGCTCAGGAGGACGCCCCTCTACTGCGCCCTGTGCTTGGAAGTCACCGGCGGGTTAGCCCGACCCTCGCAACCCATGCCACGCAGTAGGAAGGATTTCTATCCGCGGATTTACCAACGACCACAGAGACGCAGGAGGTTGAATGCCATGCCCAAGGTCAACTGCAGGACAACAGCAGGGCTGGGATTTGAACCCGATCCTGTTTGGCCCCAGCATCTACACTTAAACCTGACCGGCCCTCTGTACGGACGCTCGCTCGTCTTTAAAGGGAATAATAATCACAGCGAAAAGAAGTCTGATAATTGGCCAAACTTGTACTGTCGTTTTATGGATGAGGAAACAAAGGCACAGAGAGTTTAACACCTTTGCCCAAGGTCACCTGGTATTTGACCCCAGGCACTCTTGCTTAGAATTTGTGCCTGAAATCTTTTTTTTTTTTAATTTTTAAAAAAATGTTCACTTATTTTTGAGAAGACAGACAGAGTGAGAGCAGGGGAGGGGCAGAGAGAGAGGGAGACACAGAATCCGAAGCAGGCTCCAGGCTCGGAGCTGTCAGCACAGAGCCCCATGTGGGGCTCGAACCCACGAGCCGTGAGATCCTGACTTGAGCCGAAGTCGGACGCTTCACCGACGGAGCCACCCAGGCACCCCCGATCATTTTCTTTTTTAATGTTTACTTATTTATTTGGAGAGAGTGAGCGAGTGAGTGGGAAGGGCAGAGAGAGACAGGGAGAGAGAATTCCAAGCAGGATTCATGATGTCAGATCATGACCTGAGCTGAGATCGTGCTGTGACATCTTAGGACAGATACCAGGACCCTCTCCCAGAGGTATCTGGGTCAAGGACCAAGACTGGAACCTGGTGGCCAGGAGTGGGTTTGGTATACAGAGCAGCCTCATGTGGCTTCGCTTATGTCTAAGAAATAAAAACATTTCATATAAAATAATTAATTTCCTGCTTCTTTGAACCTCGGAAGCATTGGCACCAGGAGGCTGGAGCTGTGGGGAGACCGTCGTTTGTCAAAGGCTGGGTGCAGCTTCTCCGCTTGGCCACAGACCCCACCAGGCCCCGCTGCTGGACCCTGGCACTGAGGCTGTCGCTCCAGCTTTGGAGCCAAGGGATAGAGTCTTTGCGGACTTCAGGCCTGGCCGGCAGCAGGGGACGTGAGGGCTCACGCTGCGCCCGGGGGCAGTCCCGGGGTCTCAGCTCAAGGGACACTGTGAGCGACTGGGCTCACAGGCGAGTGCCCGTCCTTCCCAGCTGTGCTCTGAGCCCTGCCCCCACCCCGACCACGCGGACAGCAGTGGGTCTCGCGAGGTCCCCTCGCTTCCCGCGAGGTTCGTGCCAGCGTGACAAGGGGGTCACGTCGCACAGACGTGATGTGAGCCCCGCCAGTGTCTGCACGCCCCGTCTCTTCCCACCCCAGCCTCAAGGCCTCCACGCGGGGATAACACACCCCTCTTTACGGGCGCCCCAACTGAGGCTCTGAGCCATCCGGTGACTGGTTCATCAGGGGCAGAAAACCGGACCCAGAACAGATGCCAAGATGGGCCGGGTCGGGGTGGCGGCCTCCCCCCCCCCCCATCTGAGGGCAAGCCGTGTACTGAACGTGGTCAGGGCGCAAAAGAATGGCCACATGGCCTCACCACCGCGGCCAGCGGGCCCAAGAGACAAGCCCAGGTCCCCGAAATCCAGAGCCCGGAGGACCGCAGAGCACGAAGACAGACGCCTAAGAGGGAGTCAGGCCAGGACGGAAGCAGGCGCTCGAGCTATAATTCTTCTTTCTTCAAACATTTGTCTTTGTGACACAATGGTCGGCAAACACATGCTTGTAAGGGAGCCCGGAGGCAGCAGGTGAGCACGGGACCCGGGAGCCACCCTGGATCAAATCCAGGTGTGAGCCTGGGCACATGACCACCCCGCCCCTGCCCCCTGCAGCACCCCCTTCCCCCGTCTACACTGGGGGCTCGATCACAGAGCCTACTCTGGGGGCCTCACGACCCCCCTGAGGATCGTTCCGAGGACCCAGCTCTCGTGGAAGGATCGCCACCGTGTCTGGGTGGGATAAACGGCCACATGTGGTATGGTTTCACTTACAGGAAACACCCGGAGTATTTACTGGTAAACCCGTAGAGACAGAAGGCGGATCGGTGGTCGCCAGGGGGGGGGGGGTGGGGGGGGGGGGGGGAGGCAGAAGGGGAGCTTGTTAAAACTCAGATTCCAGGGCACCACGGAATCTGCATTCTGGACAAGCCCAGCAGGCCGCCCGTACGCAGGCAGGCGAGGGTCTGAAGCGCCGACCCGTCCGTCTGTCCTCCCAAACCTTTGCCACCTGCTCCCCAGCCCATCTCTGGGGTGTCAGTCCCCGGGGCCCTGGGGGCAGGCAGGGCTCCGCGTCAGCCCAGGGGCGCGTCCTCCTTGAAATGCCACCCACAAGAACTCCTCCGCGTGGGGACCAGAGGCGCACCCCCCTGAGAGCCGCGGGTCCGGCAGATGGACCTTGAAAACGCCCGTGACCGCTCAGCAGGGGACGGGGCTCGGGCGCGAAGGCCCCCAGACCTTGGTTTCCTCACTGAGTCACCAGGAACCGTACTTGCTCGCCCCGAACAAGGGTTAACTCGCGAGCGGCCACTGGCCGTATCGCTCTCCCGACACCCCCTCCCTGCTGGCTTGGGGGGCTTGACCGGGCCCAGCCCAGCCCCCGGAGGGATGTCAATCACATCTCCGCCATTTCATTAAGGTCAGGGCCACCTTTCTGAGCCTTCTTGCAGCCAGAGCTCAAATCAAACAACCTGCTTTGTTCTGCACGGAACTGACAAGCAGTTAAAACCCCATCATTATGCCGTAATTCCAGAAAATTGATCCCAGCAAGTAGCTAAGCGGGGCTCCGAGCTGCTTTGTGGGGCACCTTATCAGAGGCTTTGAAATGTCACAAATCCCAGGCGGCAGGGAGCTGACGCCTCTGGGCCCCACGTGTCGGCGCAGGGGCACGCGGACCCCACTGCGGAGTGGACGTGAAGTTAGAGCAGCGGGAGGTGACACGGCCCGGCTCCCGCTACGGGCGGTGGCAGGTCTGGTGGCTCTGCCATTGTGCCAGCAGAACCGTCAGCAGCCGGGTACGGAAGAAAGGACACAAGAAAGACGTACCGGTGGGAAAGGTGGTAAAACGATCCCCTAGAGGGAAACGAACAAACGGCTGAGCGAGGGATTTAAAGAAAACGAACCTCGCCGTCTCGGCCAATTACGCGTGACGGCGACTGTGCGAGGCCAGGGCCGAGGGGGCGTCTCCTTCTGCCTCCCATGCCCCAGCCCTGCCCACCTCCACCCCCCCCCCCCGCCCCGGCTCTTTCCTGTGGCTTCTGTCTCAATTCACAACAAGCCCCTTTTTTCCTAAAGTAAGTGCTCCATGGGAGTGGTGTGGCCTTTTTGTTATTTTCTCCCCCAAATGGGAGTGTGTATGCTGAACTTGCACTTGACAGACGGGCGCGTTGTCGTTTCTCTGTGGTGGAAATGAAGCTGGGGAAGGTGTGGGCGGGGAGGGGGGGGGCAGCCAGCAGGAACACAGATTTGCCCCTTTCCGTACATCTTGGGGGAGGAGGGGTGGACGCATACGTTGGTCTATCTATCAAGGGCCGGCCGACACCTTTGGGGCTACCAAGTGGCACTGCCCTGCACCTAGTAGGTGCTCAAGGAAGCGTGAGAGGAGCAGGCTGGCCTCCCTGCACAGGTGGCAGAATTTGACGAGATCCCCGCAGGGCCGGCCGGCTGATGGGGCCAATCACACCCTCTCTGTGCTGCAGCGTCCCCATCAGAGAGTGACCACCGACCCCTTCCCCCGCCCTGCTCCAGGGCTGTTGGGACGGCACTGAGGTCACCCACAGCAGGGCCCTCTCCCGGGGTCTGGCACACAGTCAGCCCTCGGGGCAGGTTCTGAGGGGAGGGAGGCATGTTTGGGGGCAGATGGGGAAGCTGTCCAGGTGAGAGCAAATCGGGGGCAATGCCATCGGGAATGAGGAAGGCCCGTGTGGAGCACGCGCGTCGGTGGGAGAGGGTTCACGGTGCAGGCAGAGGGAGGAGGGAGGAGGGGCCAAGGAGGGGGCTGGAGAATCAGGAGGCGAGGGCTCAGGTTCTGCACCTGCCTCTTCTTTCTGGTTCGCCAGAAAGCCTGGGACAGCGGCCTCAATGTGCTCATCTGTCAAATGGGGTCATCAAGCCGCCTACCTGCTACGGCCACTGGGGGGCATTACTGAGCACAGCAGCTAAGCTGCTTGCACGGTGCCTGGTGGAGAGCAGGTCTCCCCTGAACGGGGTGAAGTGACGTGTTTGACAGAGGCCCCCAAGCACGGGGTGAGGGATCACCCTGGAGCTCCAGCCTGCCTCCAGGGTCCGGGCTGTGTCCACAGTTTCAAGAACTAAGTGTTCGCTGAGCCAACGTAACAGCTGACACAACGCGACAGCCAGCACCAGGCACGGGCCCGTCGGTGTCACCAGGAATGACGCACCCAACGTTCCCAGCGACCCCCAAGGTGGCTTGCATCATGATCCCCATTTTACGGATGGGGAGCCTGGGGCCCAGAGAGCAGAAGCAACTTGCCTGAAGTCACACAGCTCGTGGGTGACTGAGCGGGGAGACCCGACCCCGGGTCTGGCCCGGGAAGTGGCGCCGTTAACCTCTCGACTGTATGCGACTAGCCCGGTGCAGGGCCGACCCGGCTGAGTGTGGGATGGGACCCAAGCGTCAAGCCTGTGCAAGCTCTGCTCCACCGGGCCGGGGTGGGGGGGGCAGGCGGGGGAGGCCGTGTGCCCAGCCAGCAGGTGTCCCAGGCTCCGTCTGGGGCTTCCTGGGACCAGACCGGAGAGGCGGGGGGCGGTGAGGGGTGGGGGGGGGAGGCGGCCCAGCGCTGAGGTCTGGAGGGAGCCCAGCGTGAGAACCACGGGGAGGCTGTTTCAGGCCGAGACCCTCGGCTCAGGCATGCGGGACAGGCGAGCCCAGGGCCGCTGCCGCTCGGGGAGCAGGGCCGGGCTGGGCCTGGGCGGGGGCTCCCGGGAGCCAGGGTGGATGGACAGTCCTGGATACGCTCTGTCACCCAAGTGTGCACGGGCTGCAGGTGCCCAGCGAGCGAGGGACGAGTCTGACCGCCGGGCGCTGGCTGGGCCACCCTTCCCGGGCTCGGGCGCGGCCTGTGTCTGCTCTGGGGTGACTGCCCGGGAGAGAAGTGCAGCGCCCCACGCACGTTTGCGCGTGTTCCCGCGGGCGGCCGTGGAGGCGCCGGTACGCATAAGACGACGCCTGTGATGGCAGGAAGCCAACGGAGCTCTCGGGGAGTTTTGGGCAGGAGCCCGTCTCTGAACACCTGGTACCGACACCTTTCGGCCGGAAACACGGGCGTTACGGCTCAAGATGGTTCATTTCTGCACCGAGCGCCCGGGACCTCTGCTCCCGCCCCCTGCCTGGGAACGGTCTCTCACTGGGCAGGGAGAAAATGGACACAAAGTGCTGCTTTGCCGAGGAGAAAGGCCGCCACCTATAAATTACGGTCTGTTCCACGATCTGTTCCGAGAGGCTCGCAGAAGCAGGCGTGTTCGCGGGCTGGCCTCCGATGTCCGTGCTCCAGGAACCCGGGGGGCCTGCTTGCTCCCCATCCAGAGGCCACGCCCGGGACAGGCAAAACCCAGGAGGCCGACGCCCTTACAGGCCTTGTCACGAGTAGAGGGGGGGACGCTCTAACTGTACCTCTCGTGCGTCACAAGAAACCAGCCCAGCCACGCCTGCCGGCTTCTCCTCAACCGTCGGGAACGGCCCGCGTGAGAGAGGAAACAAAGGCCCGAGTCCTTTCTCTGCAGAGTCACCTGGAGTCTGGGGGCTGGGCTCCTCTCAGAGCGCCCCTCGAGGGAAGTGGGTTGCGTGGGACAGCACCAGCAGCCCGGGGCTGGGGAGGGAGGCGACACAGTCTCCTGACGGCTGCTGAGCCTTCCTACAGGCCCCCTCCCTGCTCGGCCGTGCTGTGCCTCCCTCAGGATAACCCGGCTTCTCACCATTGGCCCAAGCACCTGCCGCGGAGCTCGCTGTGGTGACGAGCGTGACCACACGCTGTCCCCACTGCAGCTGGGTTGGCCCTCCCTTCACTTTTTTCCAAGCCGTCCCGATATCTGCTGCTCGGACTCCAGAATGAGACACAGGCACACCTTTGGCACAGCAGGCCGACGGCACTGGCTTCTGATCCGTCCCCGTGAGAACACAGGCCCCGGCTGGGCTTCTGGGATCCTCCTGCACCCTTCCCGCTTGCTCCCTGCCCCCGGCAGACCCCTTCACCCAGCCCCGCACCCCCGCCACAGGGCCTTTGCACATGCCGCTCCCACTTGACTCCTCGATTGTAACCTTCCAAGGGCAGCGGACACATCAGTTTTGCCTCCCAGGCTTCCCCGAACACGGGCAGCCCCCCTCGGCCAGGCACCATCACAACACATCGTCTCTACTTCTCACACTGCCCCGCGTGGTAAGCACCCCCAGCGGGTGCGAGGCCAGCGGCAGGACCCCCAGTGGCTCAGCTACGCGCTCAGCATCGGCCGAGGCTCCGCAGCCAGTGCCTCCGACCCGTGCCACGTAGCTTCCGGGGCGAGGTGGGGAAGAGGTGGGGCTGGAGTCCGAGTTCCGAGGGGGGTTTAAATGCCCGCTGGGCAGCATGGGCCGACAGTCAGAGGGGCACTGAGCCACCTCCGAGCAGCTCAGGAGCTTGGCACTGCTCACGGGTCACCCTACGGACCACTGGGGGGTGCTGGCCTGGCCGCCACGCAGGCCTGGGCACCCCGAACGGGTGAGTAGAGCCAGGGGCCCACGTGGAGGGTGCTTGTTGGGAACCACCCTGACCAAGCAGGCAGAGGTGGGGGCTGCAGCGTCGGGCCCGGGGCACGAGGCACGAGGCACAAGGCCTCGGGGAGGGAGGCGCCTGGACAGGGGCTCCTGCTAAGGCCACCAAGCGGCTCTCTAGATTCGAGGGGGGGGGGGTCTACACAGCATCTAAGGGGAGACGGTCCAGCTCACATCCTCACCGGGACCCATCCCACAGCTGGCGGCCACTCCAGTCGCCCCGACCCCGTTTCCAGCAAATGCAGAAATGTACCAGAGGAACCGGGCCCGATGCCCAGCCTTCTGCTCCCGGGCCTCCCCCGAGACGCCTCCCAGCCTGCCCCCCTCCCCGCCCCGCCCCGGACGCCCCGCGCTCCCGGGCCTCGCCGAGGATTCTCTCAAACCCCACCTTGGGTTTGAACAGACTCTCGTGGGCAGGGGAGGAGGCTGCCGGGCCGTGCAGGGGCGGGTTCAGGCCCGGTGAGGATTTCGGCAACGTGCAGCCCGGGCACCGGCTCTGCTCTGCCGCGGAGGCTGGCTCCGCCTGTCGTCCCTTCTCTCCTGCCGCGACAGACCTCCCCAGGCACCCCCGGGGCAGCTGCCGAGTCGGGAAGCACAGGTCCCGCCTTCGAGGATTCCGAGATTCCGAAGAATCTTCCCGAATGGAGGGCTCCGGTGCACCTGTGACGACCCGTTCCGCTTAGCAATGAACCGCCCGCACCGGGTTCTCCGTCTGACCGATCCTCGCGGATCTAGGTCACGCTGACGGGTAAAAACCGCACGCCTGGCTGGCCGGTGGCAGCCTCTGTCCCCACGTGCAGAATAAGCAGCTTCTCAGCCCATCCCTGCCCCTCGCCTGCCCACCGTGCATGGGGACAATACCGAGGGTGCGGAGCTCCGGAGGGGGCCCGGGAGGCACCGGCCGGGCTGTCCCCGGGCCTTCCTGTCTCTACGCCGAGTCCCTGCACCACAGGTGCTCAGCATCTCTGCCCTCAACGTCTTTAGAACCCAGCTCGAGGGGCTCACACCTCTTCCAGGAAGTCCGTCCTGACTTCCTCCTCCAGGGCTCTGGACCCGTAGCTCCTGTGCCCAGCTCCATCCCCTACTAGATGGGAGCCCCCGGAGGCGAGGACCGGGGCTCCGGCACCCGGGGGACAGGTCAGCACGCTGCCGCCCAGGGCCCGAATCCCAATCTCCAATCCCGACCCTCCACTGGCAAAGCTGTGACACGGCCACAGAGAAGCCAACGGGCCAGTCTGCTAATCCAAAACCACCTGCCCAAATGCACCCAACCGCCACGAAGCATCCCGGAGGAGGAGCTGAGTGCCCTGGACTCGGGTGGCACCGGAGTCCAGAGGGCACAGGCTCTGGAAACAGGACAGATCCACCCCTTGGACGCTCAGGAGCTCAGTGACCTTGGGAGAGCCGCACCAACTGTCTCTAGGCCTTGGCGTCCTTCCCTGTTGCGTGGGCACGCGGACCCTGCAGGGAGGCTCTGAGGATCTAACGAGCGATGTGCCCCAGGGCCTGGCCCCGTCAGCCTTCCCAGCATCCCCTGGCACTCCGGGTTCTGAGGCACCTGCCTTCCTGGGCCAATGATCCCGGTCCCGGGCGAGAGGGCTGCTTCTAAGAGCAGAGCACCTTCCTCAGCTTTGCACAAGGGGCTGGTGGCTGGGTCGGGAGAACCAGTCTGCCTCTGGGACACAGCCCAACACGGGGCGTAATCTCCCCCGACTCTCCGATGATCTCGAGGAGAAGGAAGGAAATGGAGGGGCCCGTGCAGAGTGCCCCTGCCCCCCAGAGCCGGGCGGCGGCTCTCTGCTTACCCCAGAGGGCCATGAAGACGGAGAAGAACACGGTGGCGGGGTTGTCGAAGAGGTGGCTGGCCCGGGCCGTGGCGCACGCCGAGCTCATCTTCCAGTAGCTGCAGGTCTTGTCGCACAGCGGGCACATGGTGATGTTGTGTCTCTGGTCACACATCTCCATGCTGGAAGAGAGGGAACAGCCTGCCAGTCCCCGGGCCAGGACGCGCAGGGCCTCTGCCCGCGCGGGCCGGACGCCTGCTCACGCTGAGATACGATATTCGAAGGCCATCGGCCGTGTGAGCGGGAAGCTGCAAGAGCGTCGTCTGGCCCAGACCGGCTTTGGGGACGATGAGACTCCCGCGTCCACTGACGGAGGAAGCAGTCCAGAGGAGGGACGGTACTTGCTTTGGGCCACACAGCAGAGCGGGGACGGGGTCCCGGCCTCTGTCTGTAGAGCCCGTGCCGTGCCCGGCTCTCGCCTCCTGCTCCCGGGTCCTCCTTGGACTATTCCCGCCCTCTGTGCCCCTGGCCAGGCCATCCAGCCCCAGACTCGGTTTCTCCTTCTGGAAGATGAGGAGAGGGGCCGGAGTAAGGCCCTCCCGGCTCTGGCCTGCCCTGCACTTTCTCCTCCCTGCCGGCCTGGACGAGGCACAGAGCCAGGAATAGACATCAGGCAGGAGTGCTCATTCCCAGGGGCTGAAGTGGAGGATGGTTTTAGTGTCTTGTTTCTGGCTGCGCACGGACTCATGTGCAGAATCGTGCCCGGCCCACAGCAGTCGGTGTTCAATCAACACCCGCTGGAAGGCTCCCGTCGACCCTCCTCTGCCCGGCGCGCGGGGGGCCTTTTGGCTCACTTCTCAGTTACCCTCAGCAGCTGTGAAAACAGCGTGAATACGATGTGTGTGCCAGGCACGTACGAGGCACCGGAGATGCAAAGACGAATCAGAGCGAGGCTGCTGCCTCGGGGCACCTGGGGGAGCGAGCGCGCGTGCGTGGGGGGCACGGGGGGACGGCACACGCAGGCGCTGAGCAGCGAGGCCCCCCCGAGCCAGCCGGCTCTGCCTTGGGGCCTAGCCTCTAGTGTTTGTCATCTGTGCGGCCTGGGGCAGGTTACTCCAACCCCTTGGGCCTCAGTTTCCCCACCCATATCGGGGGCGGGGGGGTGTGTGTGCTGGGAATGAAGCTGCCCCCGCGGTCGGCTGTCGAGAGGATTCAACGGGAAAGCACAGGAAGGCCCTGGAACGGTGGCGCCCACCGTTAGTATCACGGGGGTAACCAAGCCCAGACGGCTGTGTGTCCCCCTGGCTGAACCTCCTCTCTGCTGAAGGCCCTTGCTGGGTGGCAGGTGTGAGAGGGGGTGGGACGTCCCACCCTTGCCTTCCTGCTGACAGAGGCCGCCCGGGGCCACACGGCGACCTGGCCTGGGAGTGGGGGTGGGGGGCACGGAGGGCCAGGCCTGCCTCCCGGCCCTCCTCCGCGTTGGCATAAACGAGGCCAGCCAGACAAAAAGCCTTTTTCTGCTGGTTTTAAACCCTGTGCCGCGCCCTTCGTCACCTGCAGCCAAAGTAAAGACAAAGGAAGGGAAGGGCTGGTCTTTGGAGTGGATGGGTGCGGTGGGGCGGGCCGGCGGCTCCTCTAGGGGCAGGGCGGATGGGACTCCAGAGGGGACACACGCCTCCTGCTTCGCACACGGCACCAGGCGGGCCGAGGCCGAGAATCTCCGAGGTTCCTCCGGAATCCCCAGGAAACGCTGCTCGCCTCTCTCGCCGTGTCAGGGGGCGGTGGTGCGGGCCTGGCCGAGGGGACCTCGGCATCCTTGTGGGGGAGCGCACACGCCTGCCGGGGCAGAGCCTCCTGGCCGAGGCTGCGGCCCGTGGTGCTGCCCTCCAGGGGAGGGAGGTAAGGAGGTGCAGAAGTCCCCAGGGGTCCCGGCCACTGGCCAAGTCCCTCGGGGCTCTGGGGTTAAATCCCCGCCACACCTAGGCTACTTTGACGGCCACAGTCAGACCCAAGCACGGTGACCTCATGTCACATTAGCCAACAAAGGCGCAAGCTTCCTCTGGCCTGTCTGTGCCCAAAATAACCCTGGAGGGGACATAAGCCAGATTCCTTTACCGTTTTGATTCCGGGTGGGTGGAATACTTTAGGTGTTACTCATGCATCAAAGCACCATTTATACAAAAATTTGCCGGATATGGCCTTTCTGCACTGCTGAGTCGTAATGAGCCACTTTCTTGGCCAGGTAGAGACTCATTGGATCTTCAGTGATGGGAACTACAGACGAATTTTCCAAGCCACAGCCCTGCTTTGGAGACACCGGGCTGAGTCGTAAGGAATACACCCGAAGCAAGGGATGTTCTAGGACTTTCCCCGAGGGACTGCAAGCTCGTGGAAGGGGGGGCCAGCGGGCAACCCCGGCAGGGTCGCTGACGGAGGCAGGGGCTTGTTCCGCGCATGCAACCCAGTTCCCTCCGGCTCCGTGTTAGCGAGCCGAGGAAACAGTCGGAAGGGACCAGAGAGACTCCTTGCGCACTGAGAAGCGGCCTCCAGGCTCCCTCCACTTGACTCGTGTTCTGGCTGCCATGTGGGGAGAGCCACACCCCGGCACGAGGCCAGGCCGCCTCGGGGACCCCGGCCTTCTCCCACGAGCTCCCCATGCCTGACGTGCCCGTCGGGGGACGGCAGCGGGAACGTCAGCTCTGAGCTCAAAGACCTGGGTCTGCCCCTGCGCCACGTCCCAGAGCCCCGGGGACAAGGGAAGCTGGAACCAAGAAGAGAGGGACCCGGGGGCTGAGCCCAGGCAGGGTGGTTTGTCCCCTTCCCGGAGCTCACCGGGAGGCAGCGGATGTTCTCATCACATAGGGACTGAAAGCTCAAAGCGGGGGAACAACCCTCCAAAGGACGAGAAGGAGTCGGATGCTCAGGGACGTCTTCCTCCGGACGGGAGAGCGCCTCCCAGGGCGTCTGTGCTCAGAAAGGACGCCCGCGCTCAGCGCTCGAACCCGCGGCCGCGGCTTCCTGGGGGGCCGAGTGCCAGGACGAGGGGTGTGGCGCCCGCCTACCTGGGGATGTTCTCGTCGACTGTGGCACATCCGTACAGGAAGACGATGATCCCCACCACGGACGCGGGGATGAGCATCTGGGTGTACACGCCCAGCCAGGCAAAGTACAGGCCGATCTTCTCCCCAAAGTACTTCCTGCGCCGCGGGGCAAACAGAGACCGGCTTGCGCTCGCCCCACACCCCTGCCCGCCCCGCAAAGGAGCGGCTCCAACCGGGGCCCCGGCTTCTCCCGAGCAGGACTCGGAGGGTGGGTGGGGGCCCTGGGAAGGCGGGGTGCTGCTGGCGGGGGGGGCGGGGGGGCTACCCGGGGGGGCTGTCCCAGGTCCCGGTCAGCGTGAGCGCAAGATGCCGAGAGGACGTATTAAGGGTCTCTGGCGCCTGGAGGGGCTTACGTGAGTTTTGACGGGCTGGACTCCCGTCTACAAGCCCCCACAGGACATCCGTCGCCTACTCCGCTCCCCTTCCCGCCCCGGGAGAGAGGACGGCTCTCGTCTTTCTCCCGACCCACAGACTCAAGAAGCCTCACCACTCAGCGGGGTGGGGCCCGGGCTGCGGGTCGGGGAGGAGGGGGTGAACAGGACGGAAAAGAGTCTGTGGGCCCGGGGGGGACCTCGGGCCCCCTACCCAAGCTCAAGTTCAGACAGGCTCCCGGGTGCGGAACAGTCAGTGCGGTGAAAACGCACAGGGACACGCATCCGACGGGCTGCCCACCAGGGACTCGCCTCCCACCGCCTCCTTCTGAGCAGCCGGGCCCGCTCGCACCCGGCGACCCCCTCTCACCTGACCAGGTCGATGGGCTGGTACTTGTAGAAGACGCCGTAACTCGCCCACTCTTGGTACAGGAGCTGGGGGAGAGCAAGCAGTGAGGACCAGTGGAAAAGCAGCTTTGCTTCCTAGTCTTGGCTTACGGTGCGCTGTCCGTTCGTTCAACAAAACCCCTCGAGAGCCGGCCACATGCCGGGTACGGTGCTGGGCACTGGGCTTTTGGAGGGGAGCACGGCGGGCACAGCCCTGAGCCCCGGGGCTCCCGTTCGGGCAGGGGAGACCCACACAAACCCTTCAGCTCCCACGAGGGTCTCAAAGAACCCACCGCCGTGGGAGCTGAGCTGGCAGGGGAGGCCGGTAGGGGCCTCCTTTTTAATTTCTTCTTCTTTTTTTTTAACATTTATTTGTTATTGAGAGACAGAGAGACACAGAGCATGAGCAGGGGAGGGGAAGAGAGAGGGGGGAGACATAGAATCCAAAGCAGGCTCCGGGCTCTGAGCTGTCAGCACAGAGCCCGACACGGGGCTCGAACTCACAAACTGTGAGATCGTGACCTGAGCCGAAGTCAGATGCTTAACTGACTGAGCCCCCCGGGGACCCCCAGCTTGCGGGGGGGGGGGGGTGCTCCTCAGCAAGAACGGGCTACTTCTTTAAGTGCGGGTGAGGACGGGAGAGAAGCTTCTAGAATCCCTATGGAACCCTGACTCTACATGATTTGATCCGGAATTGATCTAAAACAGCCCAATGCTGTGAGGCTTTTCCCTTCAGGGTTCTTGGTTGTCCCAGTCAGACACCATGTCATTCTTCATAAAGGACAGAAACCACCAGGCTCTGGGAGCAGCGAAATACCGGTGGCAAGATTTTTAAAAACCTCACGGGATGCAAAGGGAGCTCGACGTTCGTCTCCCGAGATGCGCTGTCTGATTAACATGGCTTCCTGAAAATCAGCACACACCCCATTGCCCCCCCGGGCTTTAGGCAGGGATGGTATTGAGCTTGGTAGATGGAAGGCCGTGTATGAACACGTAGAGAGCATCCTAGGAAAGACACCAGGTTAGGGCTGCAGGTTTTATTTATTTTTTTTAATTTTTTTTTCAACGTTTATTTATTTTTGGGACAGAGAGACAGAGCATGAACGGGGGAGGGGCAGAGAGAGAGGGAGACACAGAATCGGAAACAGGCTCCAGGCTCCAAGCCGTCAGCCCAGAGCCCGACGCGGGGCTCGAACTCACGGACCGCGAGATCGTGACCTGGCTGAAGTCGGACGCTTAACCGACTGCGCCACCCAGGCGCCCCTAGGGCTGCAGGTTTTAAAAAAGAAACCCCACTCCCGTGGCTAATCGATGCTTTTCCAACCTTAACGCGGAGCCGAAGTCACACGGCCAGGACCCTCTGCGTGGGGCCGCCTGCCTCGGCTGGCACCAGGCAGGGAGGAGGAGCGAGGCAGGTGTGAGCACGGCCCCAGGGGCCCCCTGCTCCCTTCCGTGCGACACGGCTTGCCTTGTGACCTCCCCCCATCTCTCAACACTTAAGTTTAACATTTTGGGGGGCGGGTTTCCCAGACTCACATCGTGCGCTGGTCCCTGGGAAGCACACTACGCCATGTCCCCACCACAAACACGCCGTGTCCCCCCACCCTCCCCGCCCCAATTCGTCATGTCGAAGCCTTAATCCCACTGTGCCTGTATTTGGAGATGGAGATTTTGTGGAAGTGATTCTGGTTAAACGACATTGTGCGGGTGGGGGTCTGATCTGAAGGGACGGTGTCCTTCTAAAAAGAGACACTAGAGGGGCGCCTGGGTGGCTCAGTTGGTGAAGCGTCCGACTCTTGGTTTCGGCTCAGGTCACGATCTCGCGGTTTCGTGTTCGAGCTCCGCGTGGGGCTCTGCGCCGACAGTGCTTGGGGTTTTCTGTCTCCCTCGCTCCCTGCCCCTCCCCCACTAGCACTTTCTCGGTCTCTCTCAAAATGAATAAACTTAAAAAAAAAAAAAAGAGGGGCGCCTGGGTGGCGCAGTCGGTTGAGCGTCCGACTTCAGCCAGGTCACGATCTCGCGGTCCGTGAGTTCGAGCCCTGCGTCGGGCTCTGGGCTGATGGCTCGGAGCCTGGAGCCTGTTTCCGATTCTGTGTCTCCCTCTCTCTCTGCCCCTCCCCCGTTCATGCTCTGTCTCTCTCTGTCCCAAAAATAAATAAACGTTGAAAAAAAAAATTAAAAAAAAAAAAAAAGAGAGAGAGAGACACAAGAGCTTTCTTTCACCACGTCTGCGTGGAGAACATTGTGAGACAGCAGCCGGCCGCGAGCCAGGAAGAGGGCCCTCCCCTGAACTCAGCCCGGCTGACCCCAGGATCTTGGGACCTCCAGCCTCCAGAACCGGGAGGCCATGAACATCTGGGGTTCTGCTGTCGGTGGCCAGCCCTGACGGCCTGCCCCCACTGCCCCACAGGCCGGAGCTGACAGACGTGACCTTTACGTGCACGAGACATCTTCAAGTAACTCTCTGAAAACCAACCGTGTGCAAACGGTTCGCCGGGAGGGGTCCTGTTTCCACGGACCAGGGAGTCGGCGGTCCCTAGAAATGACCCTCCAACTCTCCATGTCCTCGGGATCCTTGGCAGCTCTGAGGAACAGGACTCAGGGGAGAACGTAAGTTCTCTCTTCAGAGCGGGGAGGCAAATATCATCCTCAGGGAAGTATAAGCAAACCTCGCTGTCAGAATCCTGGGTTTTGCCTGCTCTGATCTTTGTAAGAGGAGCTCTCTTCAGATTTTAAGGCTTCCTCTAAGTGCTACGCACGGTGTTCAGCCGGGTCCACGTTCTGGAGGACTAGGGGCCGGGCCGGCTGGTGGGCGGCCTCTGCAGCCCCCTACGGAACTGGGGTGCATGGGGTCCCCCCAGGAGCTAGAAGCCCCACTCCTGTGCCGAGATGCGGGCTCTGCTGGGCCCCTGGTGGGCGTCCTGGGCACGGAGTCTGAGTCCCGAGCGCCAGGTGGGGGTCTGGGGGGGGACCCCCTCCCCTCTGAGCCCTGTCCAGGACAGACACTCCCCTCTGAGTGCGTGACAGGCTCTCCTTCCTCCCTGGTCTGGGGGGATCCCCACGGGCTTAGGCCTAGAGCTGGGGCCTTCTGTGTCTCAGCAGGCCCAGGTATGCAGAAAAGAACGCGAAGGCCCCCCAGTTTCACCCTGCAAAGCGCCAACTTTGACGAGGGTGCGGGGCACCTCCGGAGAAGCGAAGCGGCCACCAGTGACCCGGGTGGCTTCCTCCCCGAGCCGAGATCAAGCTGCCGCCGCGGGCCACACGCAGGCGGGGGGGGGGGGGGGGCCCCCCCGGGGGCCGGGGGGGGGGGGGGGGGAAAGAGGGGGACGAGGATTTTGCCGGGGGACGGAGGCCCTCTCAAAGGCATGGCCGGCCACGTCACGCCGGTCCCCGTGCTCCCTGGCCTGCCCAGTGACACCGGCCTGCAGCAGGCCGGCCACCCTTCACCGGTACGTGTGGCACACGGTGGCTTCCTACGTGACCACTTTACCTCCACGTGACTCTCTTCCCTTCAAGAAAAGAATATCAATCACCCTGCAGCTGTCAGCGTAGAGAAATCGAACTCGAGATTTCCCTGTCACGGTTGGCAGAGCTCCAAGGGTGCACCTCAGCCTTGCGAGCAGGGTGGGAGGTGTCAGGGCCCTGGGGTCCGCCGGCTGGGGGCTGGTGGGCCCAGTCACAGTGACCTAAGAGCCTCCCAGAGCCCGGGCCTCAGAAGGAGCCCGGCTCAACCCACTGGCATCTCTCCTGCTCAGACCTCCCTCCTGGGCCCATGTGGCTGGGCAGGCCTGTTAGGGCACTAACGCTGTCCTTAATTTGTCCCTTGCTGTCTCCCTCTAGCACGAAGGCCCAGGAAGGCCAGGTTTGTCTGTTCATGTTATCCCCAGAGCCTCTAATAGGGCCTGGGGCAGATAACAGGGTCCTAGTAAGTAACTGGGGAAGGAAAGAGGGAATAATAGGTAGGGTCCTGTGGCTCTCAGTCCAGCACAGGGATGGAGACAACTCAGTTGACATCTGGAGCAACTGCCCTGCCCCGTGTCCCCGGATGAAGGAACGCTCGCTCCCAAGGGCCCTGAGGATCAAGCTGACAGTTATAGCCGTGCTCAGCCTTGGGTCTAGCCTGCCTCCTGCTCAAACATCCCTACTGTGCCCCTGCTCCTCCAGCTCAGCACAGAAAAATGGCCTTAGCTAGATTGCAACCCCCTTTCCATCCTGTGAGGTATCTTGGGTCAGGCACTTGGGGCTATTGACACTGATGGGACCAATAATGGGGGAACCACAGACTTTGTCACTGGAAAGGCAACATACTCAGAACCAGGTTGCTTAAAATGAAGCCACACGGGAGAAGGAGAAGTTCTCCAAAGCTCTGAGTTAGGACCCAAACACTTATCTGGGACATTCCCCCCACCCTCCGTCCCTTCCACCTGTCCACCCACCCAGCATCCCCACTCATCATCCATCTATCCATCCAACTACCCACCCACCTCTCCATCCATCCCACCCATCATCC